TTAGAAAAATATATATAATTTGTTCGCAAAATATATGAAAATACTTCAGTTTTATTTACACTACTTCAAATTTAATCTGTTTGCTTGCGTTCAAAAAATCAGTCGTGCATAAATTTGATAAAATATACCCCTTGTTCTAAACAGAAAAGCAACTTGCCGCGTACGGCTCTAGAGGACTAAACATAACAAGAATCGTCGATTCTGAATGAAATTTCGAAGCCGACGGGCACAGCTCAAGTTATAAAAAAAAGGAAAACCGAAAAGAACAAGTAGAATCGCACGCTATAGCAATGGCAGCTGATTTTGACAATACAGCGAAAAAGACGCACAGGATATAACCTTGACTCCACGTTACTGGTGATGCGAGGTGTTCACAGTGAGCACGGGTTCGATAAAAAGTCCAAACGATTGTGCAACAGAGAGACCGAAAACAATGTACAACGGGACTGTATCCGATAAAACACGTACGAAAAGTACGCTCGACTAACATAACCATTTACACTGTCACTGATGTCGCGTCGGTGTACGGCGCCAAAATTCCGATCTCTCCGGTTTCTGATACGGCACGGTAAACGCGCGCAGCAAAAAACAACAATTAGAGTGATGGTTTGATAGCAGCCTGACCGTGTTATAACATGTTTCCATCCAGTAGACAAAGGAGAAAGCAGAACCAATCCGATCTTGTATGTTTATGGTGTTCTCCCTTTGCTTCGGCCTCGTATTTTTCTCTTTCTCCCTCTCTCCCTTCCACCCCCCTATTCATGTCCTTCGATCGGAGCAGCTGTCTCTCTGCTACGGCTTGTCTCCGGGCGCGCGAGACACAAAGCTGTATATTTACCTTTCGAACGCGCTACAAACGATCGCGTTTCGAAGTGTCACCGCACTTCTCAGACTATGTGCGATCATTGCTTAATGCCAATGAATTGTTCATAAACACTATTGTCGGTGATTGAAAATTCTCATGACACATTGTTAACGTAAATAGATTAAGGAGCGAAAATAAGCCACGATTTGGTTGGTATAATGCCATAAGAAACGTATGGTCACGTTATTGCGTCGTGTTTAGAATATTTATATTGGCACCCGATCTATCATAGTTGAGCAATATTTTACGAAACATTCACAGTAACAAGCATACTTATTATAAAATAAATGCGAAAACGATGCCTACTTAAAAAAAAAATTATCCCTTTTTTTAAGGTTAATTCAAGAGACGATTTTGGAATCAGTGCTACTTTTGTTAAAAGATAGTCAGATGTGCGACGCGCTTAACATGTTATTATACATTGAGTCTTGCCAATTCTTACCGAAACCCTAGAACTAACACAAACACACAACGACGGTGGTTCTATGTGATATGGAATTCAATGCGTACGATGAATGGCATACAATGTCATTTCACATAGCACCACCGCCGCTTTGCGCTTGTGTAGCTTTAGGATTTCGGTAAATATCGTTACAACTCATGCGTACTACATTCAAATTGCGCAATATAGTTTAGGAAACATGCAACAACTTTCAGTATTTACTTATTGTACAACACGTGTACTTTACTAATAGCAGATATTAATGTAGTTCAAATATTTACAATAAATTTACGAGGCTTTCCTCGATACTGTAATCTTCTCGACTGATTCACTCAACTGCGTTTTTATTCGCACAATTATGTTGGCTGCAATGAATGATATCGGAACACTTCAGAGTGTTGTCGACTTCCAAACGTTTTAGTTTATATACGATAACTCTACGTATCGAGCTTTCGAGAAACGTGAAAATTCTGTTTTTTGTGCTCATTTATTGACCGCCGTAGGATTGAACGCCAATAAAAATAAACGTGTCAATCCAAATTTAAATAAACTAATAGTTTAACTAAAGTGTAAAAAAATGATTATACCTGTACGTTGTTTTACATGTGGAAAAGTTATTGGTAATAAATGGGAAGCTTACCTTGGTTTGCTACAGGCAGAATACACTGAAGGGTAAGAGTATACGTCGTGTTACACAAAAATGCGAAAATAAATGAAATATAAACTATGTTTAGGCAAACGAGAAATCTAACCTCAAACATACAAATATTGCGAATGTATTGTCAAGTTATAATAAACAAACATTTTCATCGAGTTCATTGTTTTAATGTTATTTGCATGTTGCTGATAAACTTTACATCAAAATATTTTGAATGTGCTGAGGCTAATGTGTGACATGATACACGATGTGTTACAGAGATGCTCTTGATGCATTGGGATTAAAACGATATTGCTGCCGCAGAATGCTTCTTGGACATGTAGATTTGATTGAAAAGCTTCTGAATTATGCACCATTAGAAAAATAACCACTCAGACTTGTTATTTACACATTTCATTTTGAATATTAAGGTACATATTCTACAATAGCATAATAATACCAGTAATACAAAAATGTTGACTTAATATTTTTCATGTTATTAACATTAAGGCATTGTTATTTATAACGAAATATATTTTTTAAACTGTGTACAAAATAGGATAGAATAAAATATACAAAATATATTGTAAAATGATTTATATTTTAGTTATGATTATTCCATCTTTTTTTTTTTACCAGGAATATGTAAAAATTTTCAACAATTGTATAAAAAATCGATTGTTTCATAACAAGTTTGATAAGCAAAAATTGCTTCAAAAAGATCATGCTTGTTTTGTTTTAAAGTATACATTCATATTAAATGCAACACAGAAAAGTGAAACATTTTATGCATTGTGTATTACATGCATGGAATATGTAATTGGGAACTTATTTTACATACATGTTTGTATACTGTCACGACCGCTGAATAGACACAAGGTGAGGTCAGCAAAATAAGGATATATATGAATAATAAACATTGTAAAAATGAAAAAAAACATTGTAATTTCTTTTTGTGAATAAATAAAGAAAGAGCAAGGGTTTCCACCCATCCCATTTTTTAAAAAATAATTCGAATTTGTTGGACGTGACAGTACTTAAAAGATTTGCTTTTAAATGTTTCAAATATTACAATACTTATATACCAATAATTTACATTATTAGGTTTAGAAAAAATTGAAGGTTATATTTTGAGATTTGATTGTTACTTTATAAAACTAACACAAATATAACTTTTATTATGTGTTACGATTTTATATATTAATATTGATTGAAGTTGAAAATTTAAGATATGTGTAAAACTTAAGTTATTTAAAATCTATTCCAAACAGTATATAATTAAAATTTAGTATGTATCAAATTTTAGGAACAAATCGTTTGTTATACGTTGCAAATATTATTAGTCATTTGATAACGACTAAATCTTGTCATATAACCTTCCCTAATATAATTCTTTCTATGGTATAAAATTGTTTGTGCGTAGGTATTATTTCAACTATACCGAATGTCGGTTTTTTGGTTCATCATTCTTACAAGAATTCATTTTTGAAGCTCTCGTTTGCACAACAACCGAAACAATATTTGCTATCAGAATTCTTCGTTTCTATCTTACTAGAGCACTTCTTGTAAGCATATACACAGGCATCTAAACTTTTGATATAAATTTTATGAAACCTTTGATTATGTACGCTTTCTAAAATAAATTATTTAAATTAACATTTCCAATTGACATACTGTTTTGATTGCCCTCGTAAAATATTGGAATTATCAGAAATTTATTGCTTTAAAATCTGTTAAATGGCTTTCAAATACTTTCAAAGTTTGGAATATTGGAATATTCTACAGATTTATATCTATATGAAATCAATTTCTTTATCTATATAGCTGTACGATTTGTATTAATGCACTACGAGATCCAAATACTAATGCCATAAGACCAATGACACATATTATTACATTCTTGAGCGCTACCCAGTTTCCTGGCCCGAAACCTACGTCCCAGTAAGTTACAGTTTCAACGAACACAGGAATTAATAGACCCAATATTGAAAAACAAAATGCACCGATCAGGCCAATGAAAGGTTCGATAGTTGGTACAATAACAGCCAGTAGAACTGTAACACACAAATAATTTGCTTAATTTTACTTGTCCTACGATTACAAATATTCAGCTCATTTATTTGAAAATTTAAATAGTTTCGTTTAACTTAAAAATGCATACCTGCTCCTGTGACCATAACCGTTCTTAAAATGTAATTTGCCAACAAAGGTTTCTTTTGGAATCGATCCTTTATACCGTTCCATGCAATATCAAGGCAGACGTAAAATTGTAATCCAAACGTACAGTAAACGGCAAGAGCTATTAAAATCTTTACAACTTGTGCCGCTCTAAAAGAAAGATACGTTATCAATACAATTATCATTGAGAATTCGTTAATTTTCATTTCATTTATATTTGTTATAATATCTACATCTCTTCCGTTGGTAGATTTAACGTGATGCTATCCATAGTGGTGTCCTGATATTTTATGTATCCCAAGAAACCCAGTAAAATGTATATAAGCGTAACTCCAGACATTCCCTTATTAAGAACACCGCAGATTCCAACAAAATGTTGCGGCGTTTTCATATTATTTTCCAGCGGCATTACAACACCTACATTATTCTTCTATTAACATTTTTTCATTCATGTTTGACTACAGTAACACGTTCTGTACCATGGGAAAAATATGAGTTTTGGAGGAACTTTAAAACGAAGTTAAAAAGTAACACTAAAATGTCAAGAATATTATTATATTCTTTTACACTTTAATCTACTTTTTATGCGTGTTTTGTTTGAGCCTCGAACCCCAAGAATATTCTTTTTCGCTTAATGGAAGTTTCATTTCCAAAAATTATCATGTACCACCAGTGATATACACGGCACAGAACGCGTTAAATTGAATGCACAATCGAGTAATACCTATTGCTTCCATTGCAAAGATTGTAATGCTGAAAAATCTTGGGAAGTCCTCGAAGTTCGCGAATAAAGGCACGCTCGTGATAGGTGGGAGATCCCAGACTAAATAATAAAAAGTTATTCCTAAGCCTGTTCCCATGAATATATTGGCAACCATGGAAACGGGCGCAAGGTATTTCAAATTCGGTATCCAACTGAGGAGTATCAATGGGATCAATAAACAAGCTGTCATCAGCCGTATACTGAATTCATCGGATCCAGCCTCTTTATAATGTGCAATGATCTGGTTGAAGTTCGCAGCAACGATAACTGTGTACACGCTGCAAGTGCCAAAGTACGTTGCAAATAAACTAATCTGTATGAGATACCTGTAAGTAAAATATTACCTAATTATTCTTATGACTGTTTGAACCATAATTTTTCATAGAAGACGAGATAGGTGTTCTTTTCCACATTGTTATCATGACAAGTCTTACCTAATTGGCTTAGAAAATTTCCTTCCCCATTCTGGTCCCGTAGCAAACGCTACTTCTGCTACATCGGCAAAACTCATCTCCGTGCGTCTCGTTTTGTAATACAGAACGTGTGCACATTTTATCTGAAATAAAAATTAGACTTATATAATCTCGTCACAATTTCGTTCGTCGTACTTCACACGCCTTGACAGTTATTTACCAAAATATATGCACAATGTGTGCACACAAATGCCACTAGGATCGTGGCAAATACACCAACCAGGAGGCCAGCATTCTTGAAAGCAATTGGCATGGACAATATGCCCGTTCCAAGCGAGGCTTTCAGTAAATGCGTTAATGTATCGCAGTCTCTGTGAAGATAGAAAAACTTCAATGATGATCATCCTTCCATATGCATGATAGATTTACTTGAGTATTTACAGGTGACTCAAACTATACAAGAAACGAAGAGTTCCTCCTTTTCTTTCCCGTTATTTTAATCCATCAATGTAAACAGAAGATTATGCACTTCTCAAAATAGCTAGATCATTACCTATTTAAGTGATTTTATTACCCATTGAATCATTCAAGGCTTAAGCTTGGCAGAAGCTAATTTTAAGTATCAAATGGATTGCAATAGTTACAATATATATCACATGATATCACATAACTTGATGTACAGAGAGTGTCTCATTGGCTGTTTTCTTGTTTAAGTTGTAGTATACATCCAATATGTTAAGGGGATCAGTTAATTGAATTATTCTTATATTAAAACTGCACTATCGTGGGCTCACTTACGTCGTCGGGTTATCTACTCTTCGTTCACTAAATGGATCGAAGCTTTTTACATCGCCCTGCTGCTGTCCAGCCTCCATATCTCTCGGTGCGACTTGCACTTTGTATCTAAAGCAAGTATGGTAGAATTATTGTACTGAAACCCATCTAAACTTTATTTTATTTAATATCTTTGATTATCGTGTCTCAACGAAGCAGATCAGTGTTGTAATTTTATACGATAATGCTTTTACTGAAATTGCTTTTACCTAATCTATATTTGGACAAGTTAAGATCTAATACATACTTGGATAATACGCCATCTTTCATGTTGGACCCGTCTTGAGGCAAGAAGGTGTCCATTTCCGTTGGCAATTTGTTATCCTGCAATGTAAGCATTGTACACAATGAATAATAATATAATATAAAAATAAAATAAACGAAATTAAGTTTGATCTGAAACAAGAATAAAGTTTGTATTACAAAATAGTATTTATAAAGAAATTTTTATATTTTAGATATATTGTAATTTTGCATAACGTATCTTGTTTGTATAAACAATTTGCTTAACTATCGCGGACTACAGTTAAAAGATTACAAGTGGAAGAATATTACTAGCACAAAGATACGAACCAATTATTCCTTGATTTACAATATAAAATTATGGAAAGCAATGTGATTTGCCGTTTATCGTTCTGTTAATAAATTATACGTTTTCCTGGTCTAAACTGATATAAAAATTTAACATGTTCGCCTAATGGATCTCAGTATCGTTATTTATGTTTCGATTCATCAGGTTAATCAAATCTGACGTTATTAAGACATTATTATCTTTGATTCATCTCGATATTAGATTTCGTAGAGACCAAATAGCATAAACAAACCTTATTCATAAATACTTTATTGTGTCACCCAACAGAATTTCTGTACTTATGATAACATCGAGTATATCTTTCCATTAAAGCTTCTTTTAAAAGTGTAAATAAACTTCTGGTAATAAAATTATCAGCAAGAGAATCTCTACAGATATGATATACAATGTAATCTACTGTTTCAGAAACTGATAGCATTATATCTTTAAAAAAAATCCCGAGTGAACAATAATTTTCAAGTGAGAAATTCTTTTTCCTTGTGTACTTGGACCATCAGATGTAAAACCTTCTCGTTATTTCGTGGTTTCATTTTTAAAATTGTCTACTTTCTCATTAGAATCCAAATTTGATAGTTATTGTGCCTAATGAGTAGATAAACTGTCATATATTGTTGTTTATCTTATCAATTGTCTTTGAAATGAAGTGCCGTGTGATAGAATTAGCGAATTCCATTCCACTTCTGCTGCATAAATGAATTTTAATTCTGAATAGGAAATGGTGAAGTAAAATTAGTGAAACAGGGAAACTATGTAGCATTTTTAACGAAATTCAGGGAATCCCATAACTCTCTTTACTACTTGAAAATTGGTTTTAAGGTTTAAAAATTGGATTTAATCTTTTTCATAGTAAAGTGACTTATGGATCACCCTGTATATTGAAGAAATGCGACATACAAAAAAGAGCGTTATTTTTATAAATAGTTAAATATTGACATAATGTTGAAATATCGGTTTTCATGAAATGTCGCGCTTATCATCACCTTCCAACTGTAAGGTTCGTCGATAATCTACGCACGATCGAAGCATCATTACGTAAAGCCATCATCCAGAGTCGACGTTTAACTTCGAGACTTTGTCCTTGCTAGTTGCGGTTCTCCGTGTATAGTAATGCGTATTATACACGGAAATGCAAAAATATGGACGGTTAATATGGCGAGAAAAATTAACATAAACGTGTGAACGCTAAGTGACACTTTAGTAACAATTGTATACCAGAAAATAACCAAAGCAAACTGCCAATTAACTGTGCGATGTTTAATCACCTTTCTCTGAAAAAATAATCAATTCTTCATATGTTTCATATTTATAATAAACAATAAATTGAAGAAAAAAAAGAAATGAAAAATTAAAAAAAAAATGTAGGGGATTTCCAATATTTTCAAACGTTTCCGAAAAGTTCAAAAATTCCAAGAAGTTCCAACGGTGCCATTTGTATACATATGTATATTCCATAGGTATGCATAGTCAGTGGAAACGATATAGTGAGGTCGTAAAATCGGCCAGGCGTCAAAGTACGTGTAATCCATTCGTCGAAACAGCAGTTACAGGGTGATAAAAAGCTCGAGCCTCGTTCAGGGCCGTTCGATATCAATTCGGAATTGGTTGCAGCATGTTTAGTTCTGCATTTCATATAATAATGTAATCGGTAGACTAAACCAGTTAGATAATATTACGCTGTTGATATTGACCAGCGTATCTTCTAAATACGTTGTGGCGACCAGCTGTAGTGCAGAAGCAAGCATTTGCCGCGCGGACAACCAACACGGTTTATGACGTGCGCACGAGCAAAGCTATTTTTGAGAAAACCATTTTAATCTGTTTAATGTTTAGTAAATCTAACAATGCATGTTTTCGTAGAAACTTTCACCAACGGTCTCAATAGCAATTTGCCAGGTCATAAGCCAAGGGTTGCTGTAAGGTCTGCGTACGGGCTCAGAGGCCCAGGCTACATGTCTCAAGTACCGGACCTGAAGGAAAATCCGCGACGTTGCCAAATCCGCTACAGCGGACAATACGCCCCCACCATAATTCGCCGCGGTCCTGGAAAAAGCGCGCCAAGGGCGCAAAGGACTAGCGGCGGGTTAAAGATAAAATTCCTGATTGGTTACAACCAATAAGTTGGGGGTAACCAATCAGGAAAAAGAAAAGGGTGAGAAAGAAGCTCGCGAGGTGACTGAGAGTCAGAGTCAAAGTCAGTCGGTAAGCGATAAGCAGTAAAGTATAAACCTCGTGAGCCAGATAATTAATAAAGACCTTAAAAGAACTTACTGTGTGGATACTAAGTAACCCAGATACACGCACTATCCTCCTACCCTTAAATACCTCTTACAACGTAATTAATGACGTGAATAATCAGTTGAATAATCATTAGCAGTAAAATAAATTGAACAGTAGAATGTTAATTAGTTAATGGTATTAAGGCTGGAAAACTTAAAACGAATTCTTAATACTTCGACAGAAAATATGTGTGATAATCATTTTAGCTATATGGTGGACTAATGAAAGACTCTTTGTTCAATTCTGCTATTGTACTGTGCCGATATTTTTACGATGCTGAAACAAAGGCTGGTTCCCTCTTTCAGCACAATTTATTTCTTATACAATCCTGGTATATTCAAGTATGCCCTACTTTACCAACGAAATAAACGTTCATCGACTTAATAATTCACTAATTTTTGCTAACTATAGTAATAATAAAGCTATGAATAATAATACTTTAAAGTAAGATTAAGTAAACGTCTCAAATACCATACGGCACTTAGCTAAAGTTAGAAACTTATTTCAGTCCAGCTTTACGTAATGTCGTTTATTTTAGTGTTGTTATTATATGATTAAAACATACAATGTTGTAAAGTTCTTGTAAAACTGGAAAATACAAAATTGCGGGAAAAAAAAAATCACTGTCGACATCTTTTTATTCATATGTGAAACGCAAAGGAAAATACCGTTCTCAGTTAGTCACAGAAAAGCGTTTCATTGAGAACGGTGTTCATCGATCATTCCTGACATAATTCCGGACATTGTCCTCAAAAATATAGAACCGTTGGCAAGCTACGTTACGGTACGAGCTAACGGATGCGCGTGTCCAGTCTAAAAATAGAGCTCGAAACGATCGCCTAAATCCCTGAGTTATTTTCTTCCAATAACTTTCCGCTAATGCAGCAGAATAAATTGGCATATTCTACACTCGATTCACTTAATTTGTTAGTTTTAAATGAAGAACACTTCAAAAGTACATATGAAGTAGCAATTATTTAATGAGCTTTCATTAATCTTAATAGCATGTATGTTATGAACTGTCAAAACGATACGAACTGAAATCTCACACGCCATCGATCGTTCATTGCAAGATAATAAGGAGAAACCGGTAAGACAACTTCGACTCACGACATCTGACCAAATTACCCGTAAATCACACATTTATCTTCTGAGCCTGTTTTCACACGTCGGTACTAAATGCAGTTTTACTCCATGAACTGTGTACCCATTATTATACTTCCTTTTATTTACGAAGCATTTCAAATTTTTGCGTTATCACACAGTACCAAAAATCAAACGCTGTTATTGTATGCCAAATGTTTTATGCTGTAAATACGCCTTTACTGATTACATAGAATAATGTACACCTTAAATTTGGAAATATTTACACATTCCTTCTGCATGATTTCATTTCTACGTAAAATATAAAGAGTGCGTTTACAATATTAACTTTTACGTGTCTTAAAGTACTAATAAACGTAATATATCTGAAATTCTTCTATGTATAGACAGTTCCCAGAAAGCAGGATGAAGGTAAATTGTAACTTACAGAGCAGGATAATCGGCGTGACGCTGCGAAAATGTTACGCATATGCCTCGCAAGTGTACGCGCACACGATTATGTGTTTGCATCTAAAGACGCTTGAAGAAGCGCCACTTTGACAATACGGTATTACAACCGCGTCGTCGTAGACGTACTGATTAAAATACAATGCATCACCGGAATCTTTAACATATACGGTTTATGCAGAATTATAATCTGCATCAGAATGAAAAAATGTTTTGATGCAACATAAGATAAAGGGAATTATTTGATTACGGAATCTTACAGAGTTTTATAGATTGAGGTTATAAGGGTGACTCAAACATGGCGCACATAATTAATAGGTACGTCCTATAATTTAAAATCAAAAGCATAGATTACATGGAAATTTTTTGCTACTATGACTACCCTTTTCACCAAAACTGAACGTAAGTAGGTCTAACGTATGATTAAAGGTTTCCTGCTTAGAAATTCGAGTCATGTGCAATGATGCTTTAAAAATGTTATTTTATTTGCGTGGTATTTCAAAGGCGGCGCACGTCGTAAATTCACCAATGTCAAACGTATCACTGGAACTATTGGGTTTAATTATCATTTCAGTATAACGCGATACTATGCACGGTAAAGGAATATAAAATAAAATCGAAGTGGTAATTTGTCGCCATTCACGTGTCAAACCAGTCGTTGCGGTTACGATGTAAGTAGTTGCAGCTATTTCGTTGATCAGAAACTGCATACCTGTAGGTTAAAATGAAATAAAAGAAACATTATATAACCACTATGCTTACGTTTTGATAACGTAGGTACGTACTTCTAGTTTACCTAACATTCTTTTTCCTTCTAATTTTTCTTCCTCCTAACCTTTTCGTTAAATACGTCATCAAGTGACGTAAAATCAGATAAGAAAACTATGATAATAATTGCACATGATGACGCTAGTAATTC